TCTTTCAGGCCCTATCCTTTCTTCCTTCAGAACCTCTTCCTCTTTCTCCTTCTGGTTTCCAGTTAGGATGTTTCTCTGTAATAGAAAGGAAGGAAAGAAGAAAAGAATGAGACCTAGAAAAAATATAAACCAAGAGACAAAGCCACAAATCTGTCTGTTTTACATCTATACAAATCCTATTATGCTGACAAACCATTGTAAAATATTTTCATGCTGCATGAACAGTTTTTATCATAAGGCTAATTTGTATTGAAGTAACTGTTATTTAGAAGTTCTGTTTAAGCAAATCCCAACAGAAAAGGAGGAGGTAGAATTATATCCATGTTTGTAGACAACAGTTTTAAGAATTCACCCAACCAGGCGCTGGTAGCTCACACCTGTAATCATAGCTACTCAGGGAGCTGAGCTCTGAGGATTGCAATTCAAAGCCAGCCCAGGCAAGAAAGTCTGTGAGGCTCTTGCCTCCAATTAATGACCAGAAAGCCAGAAGTGATGCTGTGGCTCAAGAGGTAGAGCACTAGCCTTGAGCTGAAGAGCTGAGGGACAGCACCCAGGCCCAGAGTTCAAGATCCACGACCAACCAAAAAAAAAAAAAAGAATCCACCCCCAAAATGGTTAGAATTTACCAATGAATTCAATAATGGTGCAGGATACAAGATCAACGTGCAAAAATTAATAGTTTTTTAAATTATACTGATAATGAAATTACTGGGAAAGTAATCAGGAAGGCAATCCTATTCTGTTTTTTTTTTAAAGAAAGAAGAAAATATCTAGGCATAAATTTAACCAAGGAAAAGAATAATCTCCCTAATGAAAATTACAAAACACTGATGGGAAAAACTGAAGAAGATAACTCAAAAATGTACAAAGACATCTGTATTCATTGATTAGAAGAATGAATATTACTAAACTGTCCGTACTACCCAAAGCCGGCTACAAATTCAATATAATTCATATGAAAATACGAAGCTCACATTAAAATATAAATGTCTATATTACAAAGATCCCAAACTTTAAAGCAATCCTGAGCAGATAGAACAAAGCTAGAAGTATAGTAACTGACTTCAAAACATACTACAAACCAGGCATTAGTGGTTCACATCCATAATCCTAGATACTCAGGAGACTGATTTCTGAGGATCTCTTTCCTCCAATCAACCAGTAAAAAGCAGAAAGTGCTAGAGCACCATCCTTGAATGTAAAAGCTAAGGGAGAGTGCTCTGGCCCTGAGTTGAAGCTACAGCTTAGGCACGTGGCATGCATGTGTGCATGAGCGTGCACAAACACACATGCACACACACACAAGTACTACAAAGTAGTAGTAAGCAAAACAACACGGCACTGGCCTAAAACCAGCACATAGACTAGTGGAGAAGAATAAAAAATCCAGGAAAAAAAAGTCTATAGATTTGTAACCAACTGATTTTCATCAGAGGCAATAAGAACATATCAGAGAAAGATTTCTTCAATAAATGATCTTAGGAAATCTAGATATCCAAGTGCTGAAGAAAGAAACTAGACCCTCCCTTTCACCATAAACAAAAATCAACTTAAAACAGATCCCAGTGTTAAATTTAAGATCCAAAATTAAGAAACTACAAAAGTGCTAGGCACTGGTGGCCCAGGCCTGTAATTCTAGCTACTCAGGAAGGTGAGATCTGAGAATTGAGGTTTGAAGCAGCCCCAGCAGGAAAGTCTATGAGACTCTCATCTCCAATTAACCAATAAAACGCCAGACAAGGAGCTGTGGCTCAAGTGGTAGAGCGCTAGTCTTAAACAAAAAACATAAGGGACAATGCCCAGGCCCTGAGTTCAAACCCCAGTACTACATACATACACACACACACACACACACACAGAATGTACTAAGGTATAGCTTAGTGGCAGATATGTGCTTTACATATGGAGGGCCATAGGTTTGATACACACATGGGGGTGTTGGTGCAAGTGTCCTAAATGCATCTCCAAAGATGATATACAAATGCCAACAAGTATATGAAAAATATGGTCTCTATCACTAAACATTAGCTAAATGAAAATAAAAATAGGATAGCATCGTGCCCTAATTAGAATGGCTTTTGTCAAAATGACAGAAAAGTAAACACTGGTGGGAATGTAAAAAATGGAGGACTCTCATACAGTATTAATGGGAATGTAAATTAATACAGCCATTATAGAAAACAGGACTCTAGGCATCTATACACAGTGAGACCAAAGGAGGATACTCTTAGGGGAGAAACACAAAAATGCAATGTCTGTGTGTCTTTGATTCTATAAAATAGTGTTTGTTGAAATTAACTCCAGGAAATGGAAACAAGAGGTTTTTTTCTTTGTTGTTGTTTTTGTTATATTTTGTTTTGTTTATCTGTCTTTGGGAGGGTATAGGGGACACAGAAATGGAGGGACAAAGGATAAACAAATACAGCAGTGGTATTCACTAGATACTATGTTGAATATGAATTATACAACTTGTGGAGACAATAGGGAAAAACTAGGAGAGGGAAAGGGAAGGAGTAACATTGTCCAAAAATAATGTACTCATTATTTGTAAGACTATATAACTATAACACCTCTGTATATCATCTTTATAATAACAAGAAAAAATAACTGAAAAAAGGTATGAAGTATTTAAATATCGTTCAGTAGGTGAATGAGGTGAATACTTAGACCATAGATCAGTACAATGGAATACTATTTCAGCAATAAAAAAGGACCACACTGGCATCTCAACATAGATGGATCTCAGGAGTATTATACTGTGTTTAGAAAAAAAAAAAAAAAGAACACCAATCTTAAGACATCTTCTACTGTAGAATTCCATATGTAAATTTATTTATTTATTTATTTATTTTGTCAGTTGTGAGGCTTGAACTCTGGGCCTGGGCCTTGAGCTCTTAGCTCAAGGCAAGCACTCTACCACTTGAGCCACAGTGCCACTTCCAGTTTTCTGATGGTTTATTGGAGATAAGAGTCTCACAGACTTTTCTTGCCCGGGCTGGCTTTGAGCTGCTATCCTCAGAAGAGAGCTTAGCCTCCTGAGTAGCTAGGATTACAGGTGTAAGCCACTGGCACCCGGCTTAAAATATTCTTTAAACAATGGAATTATACATGTGGAAAAAACCAATAACTGCCATTATTATTTATTGTGTTAGGAATGGCAGGATTGGAGGGACTTTTCTATTGTTCCAGAGTGACTGGCAGAAATAACAGGAAAGAAGTCTCTGCAAACTGGGCTAGGTCTGTGTCTTGAGGAGATACCTCAAGAGTGTTTTGTAGTTAACCTACCACTGTTTGTTTGATTCACTCTTTCCTCTTTTTTACATTGTCATCATAAAAAGAAAGCTAAAGATAAGAAGTGTCGATAAGTAGAAAGGAAAAAATGTAAGCCTCAGCCATGAAGTTATTTGCTTTCTATTTAAAATTGCTAATTCCCCTGGTCCATTAGCCGTCAGTCTCGGGCTTTAGGGTCCATATAGCCCATAGCCTTTGAATTTCTGACCATGCTCTGTTATCTTCAAGATTTAAAATGGGGGTCTTGTTTTCTGCTTCTGGTCCTATTTTGTATTTATTTCTAGCTCATCTGTTTCACTTCTCTGATTCCGTTTAGCCATTTTCTCATATATGAGTTCTTGTATAAGTTCTAGAATCAGATTACTTAGAATTAAATTGTGGTTCATCACCTATTTATTAGCTGTTCAGTCACTTTGTGCCTGATATAAATAATACTCTGTCATAGGGTTAAGTGATGGGACTGGAAGCCCCTGTAGACTCTTCGGTATTAATTGCTTATTGTTGTTGCTTGAGTCTCAACTGCATGCTGCTTGCCTGCTGCTAGTTTTGTGGCTCTCCTGCCAACAGTGTGACCTATGTTGTCCATCAGTTACCTGTTCCTGAACTCAGGGCCTGGGCACTGTCCTGAGTTTTTGTTTTTGTTTTTGTTTTTTCCTCGAGGCTTGCACTCTACCTCTTGAACCACAAGAGGTTGTTGGTTAATTGGAGATAAACGTCTCATGGACTTTCCTGCTGGGCTGACTTCAAGCAGTGATTCTCAGATCTCAGCCTCCTGAGTAGTTAGGATTACAGGTGTGAACCTCCAAGCTTCTGTAAAATCTTCACAAGTTCCCCTTTGTCTCTTGCTTTAGATGGGACAGCTCACCATGCTAAGAGGACTTGGAAAGATAATGGGTAGGCTCTTTTGTGGCCATTAGTGCTACATCATCATTGTCATCGTCATTGCTAACACAATTATGAAACAGTACTGTGAACTGAATATAGCAAGGAAGCCAGAGTATATGATAGCTTCCTATTAGGATAAGATTAAGAAGCTCTGTTTCACCTGTTACAGGATTAGCTGAGGCTAAGTAGAAGAGAGTTAAAATTAAACTCCATCTTGTTCCTATTTCTACTTACATATATTCATTGAAACCTTTACTGAATTCTTGCTGTGTCCTAGGAGCAACAATAAGAGAAGGCAAAACTGCACTTAAATGTTGAGGAGTTTGCTGATTCTTTGCATAGTTAACATTCACACCCTGGGATGGTGAGAACACAGGTCAGGTGCCAGCAGCATCAGTCTCACTGAAAGCTTGTGATGGATGTCCAGCAAGCTCTCCAAAAGATTCTATGCTCTCTGAAATTGAACGAGAACAGTGTTGGCTTTGCCTGATGACAAATACCTAGGACATACAGAAAGTTATTTCTCTTGAGGGCCTATAGAGCAGCCATCTTCTTCTTCTGCAGTAGTGTTTATGGTCACAATCTGTGGGGATGCTGCTCCAAAAGACTGTGACTACTCTGTGGAATGTTTTTTAGAACTTCGAGGAAGCCGCAGTAAACTCAGACTACTGTGCCGCTGAGTGCTTTACAGCTGAGCTCTTAACATGAAGCGCGTCAGTAGTGACCCTGGCAGCTGACTGACGTGCATGGGAACAGTGGGAGTGACCCTGGCTAGGAAGCCCGGAGGTCTGGGTATTGTTCCTACTGCCTTTGCGCCCTGCTGCTCTGATCCCTGAGCTCTGGAACTCTCAGCACCCACCATGGCCTTCTCTAGCCGAATGCGCCCCTATGCTATCCCGGAGAATGAAGAGATCCCCCCGACAGTTCTTAACAGTGTCCATGAAGCTAATGGGAATGAAGATGAGAGGGCTGTGTCCAAACTGCAGCGCAGGCACAGTGATGTCAAAGTCTACAAGGAGTTTTGTGACTTTTATGCAAAATTGTGAGTCTCCCCCTTCCTGGAATTCCTTCTTCTGGATCTCAAGATTTTCAGCTCTCCTTTCCCTAGCAGTTTTGATATATCTAATGTTATTTTATGTAGCAGGGCTTTTCATGGGGGATCTGTGGACCCTGGGAATGGCTCATAATACAGCCTCCAGCCAACAGGTTGCCTTGTAAGATTTTACTGGAAGATTTCCTTTCTCAAAGGAGAAGAAAAGTGTTATCACAAGAGTAGTAGAAAGTCCTTGTCTTTAGTAGGTTCCCAATAACAGTACACATTATGTGTTAGGGGAAAAGGAGAATTTTTATTGTCAGGATTTACAATAGGAAAAATGTATACACTCGAACTTCTTGAAGATAAGGCCAAGCTTATTCAAGATCAGCATTTTTTGTTGAGGACTTAACTCTGTAACCAATATTTTACTAAATAAATTCTCAAGATCATTTTTGGATTTTATACATTGCTGTATTTAAGGAGCAGAAAACTTGTCTCACATATGATTATAAAATGAAAATAATAGAAAGCTGGATTGCTGCTGCTTCCTATGTGAGATTAATAGGTAGAAGTAGATCTACAAAATCAATCATGAGGGGCTCGTTAGAATTTTGTATTAAGGCTTTTACATAAACACATCTATCCCCATGTATTTCTTATTATCAACACTTCTTAGTGAAAATTGTTACCTGAAAAGTTAGCCAGTTAATTATAAATAAACTGATGACAGCCATAACCGTCACTGTTTTAAGGTATACCATCTATCATATGTAGTATTAATTATAAAATTGATTGTTTAACCTGTTTTGTAGAATGGGAGCTTCTTTGGACAACTACTTAAAGATATAATAATAAAAAATGTAAAAACCTGATTGTTTAAAAAGTGCACTATTCCAGGAGGTCAAGATAAAAGAGGAAAGAAAAGTGTTCAGTAGGAAGACAAGATGATAGCATTTCCTTTTCCCTCCTTTGTTACTAAGAAGACTTCATGAAAAATATGTTATCACATTATCTCTAGGCCAGTCCATTTTTCCAGTGTGAAATAACTCTGTACTTATTTTTGTAATGTGTCTATTTTGCTAATTCTGTGTGAGTATTTGAACTTGAGTATGAAGTCTATGTTTTAATGAGTATGACTAGGTCAGTGGAAATCAAACATTTTGATCAGGGGACCACTTTAATCTTCCCTGTGCTGAGGTGGGGGTGAGGAAGGGGAATCATGAAGTCATTTATCACTATACATAAGAAATTTAAACTGAGAAAAATAACAAATATTTACAAATTTATTTAAAAGCAGTACTAACATTTAGTAATATATAGAGAAAAATGGCATTGTTTTACATTTGTGCAGATCTTGTTGTTTGTTGATAAAAGACACTGTCTCATATGTGCCTGTTGCAATAGATGGATGTAGCCACCACAAACATATGGTTAAAAAAGAGGGGATTTTTTTTTTCCTGACACTATACTTTGAGAACTGTACTCTGTTAACAAATTAGGACATTTCAGAATCCTCCTGCCTGTTTAGAGTTTCATTAAGATCCCTGAGGTTTGAGGGATCTTTTGCAAGTACTAACTAATCATGTTGTCAGGAGCATCATCATCAAAACAGTTCTGAAAATTATTGGACAGATGTTGGGCTTACTTGCTTCGTCACTCAGGGACATGTATGGATTTATTTGTTTGTTTTGGTTGGTCATCGACCTTGAACGCAGGACCTGGGCACTGCCCGTCAGCTTTTCTGTTGAAGGCTAGTGCTCTACCACTTTGAGCCACAGTTTCACTTCTGGCCTTCTGGTAATAAATTGGAGATAAGAGTCTGATGGACTTTCCTGCCCAGGCAGGCTTTGAATCACAATCTTCAGATCTCAGGCTCCTGAATAGTGAGGATTATAGGCATGATCCACCAACACCCAGCTATGTGTGGATTTTGACCAAGAAAAACTTTGGAGCTTCAACAAAACTGCCACTGTTTGGACAGAAAGAAACTACATATTTCCCCCCCATCTCACATTCTGAAATGACACAGTAGAAATTTGTTTATGAAGCATGGGCTAGGTTTGCCACCCAGGACTGGGCACCTTGGCTTGTTTTTTAAGAGATAAGGATTTACTTTCAACAAGATATACTCAAAGGAATAGTCTATGTTTATGTTATGATATGGCATTCAGTTGGCATGCAGTTTAGATTCCATTCTCAAAAGGGAGACTTTGAGATGTCTCATGGGTATTCTAATTAAGCAACTAGGAACCTTTCCTTGAGGAAAACTTCTTTTTTTTTTTTTCTTGGAGATGGGATCATAGTGTATTTGTCTGGGCTAACCTGAAACTCTCAAGCTCAAGTGATAATTCCACTTCAGCCTAATCTTTAGTAAAGTGGGGCTACAGGTATATACCACTATACTAAGCTGAAAATGATTTTTTACTTCTTATTTTTTATTTCCATTCCTGGTACCCAAATGCATAGTAAAGACTCACGGTATATTAACTAGAAGAATGCTAAAAATGCTAATGACGGAATCAAAGCGGGGGGGGGGTCACTTTAGAATGTAAGGTGCTAGTGTGAAAAGACTCGGACAGTTGGATTGGCAAGAAAACAGGGCTTTAGATAGTGGAGCTGTATCTCAAGTGGTAGGGCATTAACTGTCCTTGAGCACAAAAGCTCAGAGACAACGCCCAGGACCTGAATTCGAGCCCCAAGACCAGCATCCAAAACAAAACAAAAACAACAGGGTTTTATAGGCCAAATACAAATTTTATGATCTCATTATTCAATCTGTCCAGGGTTAAGCCTCCAAAAAGAATAACAGTCTGACTTGCTCTCTTTTGTGTGTTACAGCAACATGGCCAATGCCCTGGCCAGTGCTACTTGTGAGCGCTGCAAGGGGGGCTTTGCACCTGCTGAGAAGATTGTGAACAGTAATGGTGAGCTATACCATGAGCAGTGCTTTGTATGTGCTCAATGCTTCCAGCAGTTTCCGGAAGGACTCTTCTATGAGGTGGGTCCATTGGACAGGAACAAAGAGGCATCATCTCTGTTCCTTCCTTTCTTTTCTAGAGTCTCTTTCATACTCAAGTTCATTATCAAAGATTGAAGTGCCATATGCTTGCCAAGGTATTTAGTAACTATGAGGTTAGTGATGATATGTGTAAAGAAACACATAGTTTATAGCTCAGATAGGATGCCATTTTAGACACCAGCATTTACATTGCTCATTTATTTTCCTATTTCAGAATCCACAGTATTTTGCAACTCTGCCTATCAGACATAAGCATTTCTGTTCCAAATAACAGTCTATAGCTGCAGTATCTCTGGCTTTTGTACATAGGCACCTATATGTTTGCCCCTGTATAGATCTTGCCAACTCCCATATTTGTGTCTCCTTCTCAGGATACCACTGGATATTCTCCCTGAAGTAAAGTCTAAGTGATCTACTGCATAGCCTTCCAGTCATGCACAAGAGCTTTCATGCACTTATTTTATATATGTGTATATATGTATTATATATAGAAAATAAAGTTGGGTACTGGTGGCTCACACCTGTAATCCTAGCTACTCAGGAGGCTGAGATATGAGGATTGTGGTTCAAAGCCAGCCTGGGCAGGAAAGTCTGTGAAACTCTTATTTCCAATTAACTACTAGAAAACTGGAAGCAGTGCTGTGGTTCAAAGTGATAGAGCACTAACCTTGAGCAAAAAGAACTCAGGGACAATGCCCAGGCCCCAAGTTTAAGCGCCATGATTGACATAAACAAATAAAAATATTGGAAATGAGTATTAGGGAACAGCACTATGTTTAGCTTTTCTAGATATCTTGAGTTTTGTTTTGTTTTGTTTTTTGCCAGCCCTGGAGCTTGAACTCAGGGCATGAACACTGTCCCTGTCCCTGGGCTTCTTTTGCTCAAGGTTAGCATTCTACCACTTGAGTCTCAGCACCACTTCTGGCTTTTTCTGTGTATGTGGTACTGAGGAATTGAACCCAGGGTTTCATGCATGCTAGGCAAGCACTCTGCCACTAAGCCCCATTCCCAGCCCTCCTTGAGTTCTTTTCTAAATGTGTGTTCTTCTTGATCCTCGGTGTTACCACATGATCTCTACGTCCTTTGTGTCATATTCAATATTTCACCATTATTGTAACTTTTTCTTCTCATATTAAACATAACATTTTGGCAGGTAGTCTAGGGAGCTAGTAAAAATGGTATAAATGAAGATGACAGTGTTACATTGTATGAATGAAAGAGGGGTCAGTTTAGTGATTTACTTTGTTTACTTGCTACTTGCATATTTGTGTATGTATACATGTATGTATATATATTTATGTCTTGCTATAGGGTAATATATGTATATAGGATTCTGTTACAGCCAAAGATGGCTGCTGTTTGATTTTATTTTTTTGGCTACCAGATATATAGATTTCCCTATCTTATATACCATTTCTGAGGAAGGAAAGGTAGTTTAGAAATGCCATTTGTAAGTTAACTGTTCACCACTGAGGCAACATTTTCCCAAAGAAATGATCCTGCAAGTGCAGTTCCAGGCCAGCTTGTAGACAGTCATCTACTCATGAGTACATGAGATATGGGAGGTAGCATGTGTGTTAGAGATATAACTCTGAAAAGTAGATTTGAGGGTTCATTCAGGGAATGAAGGTCTATTCACTAGTTCCTTCTGTGTCCTAGAATCACACATTTCCTATTTTAAAAGCCTCAACAGCAGATAAGGATGTCGTCTTTTCTTCCAGTTCTTCCTAACACTTAACAAGGCAGCAGAAATCTTTTAGTTAAGGATGATTGCCTTGGAGATGGATATGGGAAGCAACAGTCATGGAGTGGCACAGGAGAAGAATAGGCTAGTACCTAACAGCAGGAAGAGAAAGAAGGACAGAAGCCTTCCCAAGGTGTGCATAGTGGCACAGGCTGCAATTGGTAAAGAACCCTACAGACTGGGGCAACAGGATGAGAAAAGAGGTTGCTTTTAGCAGTTGCCATTATTCAGCTTGGGGAAACTGACCTAAGGACCTGCTTAGCTGTGGTAAAAGGCACTCAGCCACAGTAGTAATGTGCTGGAAGGAGATGAGACTGTTTTAAGATGAATTAAAGGAGGCACAAGATAGAAATAAGGCTTTTATTATTTATATACATCTTGAGGCCACATGGGCAGAGGTCAAGGTTCACAGTCAGAAGAAGGGAAGTACAGGTATTATCCAAATAGGCCTCCCATGGGGAATTTTAATTGTGTGACCTCAAACCCACTATGTAGCCCAAGCTACCCTTTTTTTTTTTTTTTTTTAATTTTTAAATCGGTCATGGGGCTTGAACTCTTCATCTCTTCAGCTGAAGGTGAGTGCTCTACCACTTGAGCCACAGTGCCACTTCCAGTCTTCTGGTAGTTTATTGGAGATAAGAGTCTCATAGACTTTCTTGCCCGGCTGGCTTTGAACCGCCATCCTCAGATCTCAGCCACCTGAGTAGCTAGGATTACAGGTGTGAACCACCAGCACCTGGCTCCCAAGCTACCCTTAAACTTGCAGTCTTCCTGTCTCTATCTCCAGGCGTTGGGATTACTACTATGCCTGGCCATTGATAAAGTAGGCATATATATCTGCACAGTCCATACAGGGTGTTGGAGTCAGCAGCCCACTCTTGACTACATCTGGCTGACCCATAAGGAGGAGGTTTCCAGGGAACAATGTGTAGGCAGATATCTGCATCATCACACTGAGAAACAAGTCAGAAAGAACTGGAGCCTGTGTCTAAGGTGACTGCACTTAACTTCAGGTATAAATCCAGCTTATAGTACAGCGCATACTGAGACAGCATGAAATCACAGGAACTCACTGCAGACCCTAAAGCATATGGGAAGGCCCTAGAAATATAGCTCCAGAAGGATCATTAGTCTTCATACCCTATGAATCCTTTCTTATCCTTGCTTTTCTTCTTTTCCTCCTAGAGTGGTTGAAATATTTGTGATAAAAAAGTAGATTTGTGAAAGGTATTAGGCCCTGCTTTGGTCTCTATTACCCAGTATGGTCTTTTCAAAGGTAAGATATTACTAGAGACATGATGGTTAAGCAACGGTGTCAAGATGGTGCCTCAGGAGCTCAGAGAAGAGGCAGGCACTGCTCTGCCCAGCTGCTTTTTTTCTTTCTTTTTTTCCCCCCCAAATTCTATATTGTGATTGATTACATAATTTCCCAAATTTCACAGTATTGTGGGATGGTGATGCTTAGTTAAAGTCACAAACACATTCTAACTTTCATGGGGCAAATTGTCTATCATGGTCTAAACATTTATGAGTTCTATGAGCTTTGACAATACTGTAATTTCTTTCACATTGGGTGATATATTTTGCATACCATGAGCTGTTCCCTCTTTCCCACTTGTTCCCTCCCTCCCATCACTGCCATTGAGTTGCTTAGTTCGTTTTGATCAATGTCCAGTGCACCAGCTGCTTTCTTAATTCCCTACGTGTTCCCTAGGAGAGTACCCTGGATCTACAGCCCCTCTTCAACTCTTTCCTTTATTGTCTTTTTGCATGCCATTTTGGAATGAATGCTGATGTTACACTATCTTTATCAGCCAGAATGGCTGCCTCCTATATGCCTCCTTTTGCATGTGGTCCTGCCAGCTACAAGGCCACTTGTGTTTGATCAGAAGGAAAGGTTCAGAAATGGCCTTAGGCAGAACAGAATAAAACATGACTCATACTTGTCATCCTGCCTACTCCTTACTCCCCTTCACTTCTAGACTATAAATACTTCTCCAGTATTTCTCCAAAGATGTTATGAATCCCAGGCCTGGGCCATTAATGAGTATTGCCAATTTAAGCTTCCTGGGATCTAAAGAAGATTGCTATTTTAGGTGTAATGTTTATTATTTAAGCTTCTTATCCAAGTCAGGGATTTGAAAACCTGCAAGTGGAAATAAGAATTTTACTTTTGGTTAAATAATATTAAGAGAAAAAGCTTCCCATAGCATCAAACACAAATAACCTGCATTTTCAGTGATGTCCAACAATAAAATGTTTTCCAAAAGTGTAAATTTGAATTACCTTATTTGGTTAGTATTTGAAACATCACTTACATGTATCAGTCTTTGTATAATGATACAGGCACAGCTGGCAAGATAGCTCAGTGGTAGTGCCCTTGCTTAGCAAGCATAAGTTCTAGGTTCTATCCCTAGCACACATACACACAAAAAGAAGGAAGAATCTTTTTCCAGTACTTACTTTTTTTCACCTGGTAAACTAGCTCTGAAGACTTATAGATGAGCCAGATGTAGAGGCATATACCTGCAATCCCAGCTCCTGAGGGGCTGAGACAGGAAGATAGTGCAGTCAAGGCCAAAGTTGGCTACACAGTGAAACGATGTCTCAAAAAATGCAACAACAAAGACATTTGAGTTCTGCCTTGGAAAGTGTGACTCACTTTTCAGTGTGGAAGTTCTGATACTTTTAGTCAGGACATTCTGCCCACAAAGACAAGCGTGGAATGTGACCCTTATTTCCTACCCATTTACTATGTCCTTGTCTGGAGATAAGAACACAGGTATTTCTGGTTCATCTGCAGTTTTTTTTAGAGAGAAAACAATTGTCAGGGTTATTACCTATATTGGCTTTGACTCATTGTGACTTTTTTCCCCAAACATGGAACTGAAAAGTGTTATTAAGGTAGATATCATCCCCGTTAAGGAATGCAAGGAAGCATTTACTGATTCCTGTGCTCTACAGGTTCTGTCATCTTTAACAAAGGCATTTATTATTATATGGTGTTCACAGTCTAATCCCATCTGTTTCATTTATGTATCTTCTCAGAATCCACACAGCACTTTATATTTCTAGTATTAATTTAGTTGATATAGTACATGTCTAGTAGATGATTGGTATTTATAGTGCTTGGATGGCATAGTCACAAAATAAAATGCTAATATATTAATTGAGAACTAAGTTAATAATTTCCTAACTTAAACATTGTCAAGCTGTATGTCAGAACCTTGTTACT